ACAACAGTTAACATCAAGCAATCCTTGTATATATTTTTAAACATTTTATGCGATGACTGTACATCAGTCTGACACAATATAATTTAMAAAGTGATAATATAATATATAAAATTCAGACTTCATCTTAAAGTTGAGTATATTTATCGTAAGCTTCATTACTTGTAAAATAAGAATTTACTGCTGTCAATAAAAAAGCTGAATTTGAGAATATTCTTCTTTTTATGGCATAACTAGATATCAACATTAAAAAGTTAATCTGCATTAGTACTAACTGCTAATACTTATTGTCATAAAATCAGAAATTACTCCAGGCCAGGATGTGAAGGTCTCATGTTTTTTGCATACGTCCGGCACATTTTGTCCATGATTCTGTCATAGGAAATAAAGAATAGGGCGATCAAATTCTCTAAGTATTATATGTTTACACTAGATTTAGCTCAAAATTTCCCATGTTTTTCATCCTRCGTGCAATTTCCTCCTGGCGGGGACTTTCAAAAACAGCGATCATCTGTTTTATGCAAATATGTGTGGCTTTCAACTGAACAAGCTATTATGAATRGCTTTTATGAAAAAAATTTGCCGTTAATAGCTCATTTCGAGTACTTAAAGTCTAATAAATGGAATATTTGTCCAAGCCATGAAAGTTCTAATTAAAAAGCCGGCAACGGGCAGGTGGCAACCATGTTACTAAAACAAAATGAGAGCAAGTAATACGAGATACGAAGACCCTCGAGGTATCACGGAACATCGTTGTCGTTGAAGTTTGGAGTCGATATGGAAAAAAATAGGCCATGRAAAAAMGAGAAACGAGCTTGGACAGCAGTCCTGTTGAAAAGATGAGGATTTTTTCAATGCAACAAAATGGTCGTTCAAATTACTAAATATAATTAATCAAATTATTTGCGAAATTTTAGAGGGGACTTTTTAGATTTGCTCAGACAATCACAGTTTTGAGGCCAAACATTTCATTTGAACTCAAAATATGAATTATATTAATTGYCGAGGCAAACTGTGCGTCTTGCAAAGTGCTCTTGAAATCGTTTGGATGAGTACAGCAAAAGCCGCTTTGCAGTGATTACCGATAGATTCAAACTCCTCGTAGGTAGTCTATTCAATAAAAAAAATAGCAAAAAATATTTTAGATTATCATATTTGCGAAAACATCGGAAATTTAGAACTATATCYTGTTGTCTATTAATTTCCCTACCCGTTAAAATGRAAATAARCCTACTTGAGGTTCCTTTCATGAARGAAATCGCATGCATGTGACAAATTTGATCACTAAAAGRAGTAATTACTAGAGAAATTTACATGTTTGGCACGTGAGTCAAGGTTTAGTGAAACTCATGAATAGAAATATATCATGATGTTGTGTGATTTATCAAGTGTCCTCTAAAAGTGCAAGTTGCAAATGCGTATTACATTATCGATTAATTTATGAAAAAACAAACAGAAATGGAGAGATCAAAAAATTTAGTATTTTCTGACATTGCATATAAAGCTGACATATGAATTGTAATTCAAGCGAAATGCAATTTATTCAATCCAGTACTAATGAAAACCGCAAATCATTTGACAAGGTGCAAATATGTTATGCTCATTTTTMTTTTAGACATTTTGAGGCTTGTCTCCCGCTTCAATTTTTTATCTTATTGTCTTTACATATTGTTTTTTCTATGGCGCTTTTTGTACTRCTAATACTGCTCCTTGTCTTGCTTGTGTGCTTCCTCGTTATTTCCTTTTTTTTAATTTCTCTTTCTTCTTTCTCTCCCTATTGGTYCCCTTCTCAATTCGTATTCAAATTTTCCATAAMATTCTCCATATTCCAATTTTTCGTCTCCTTCTTCTTTCTCTTCTTCATCTTTCCCTTCTCAATTTATCTTCAAATTTTYCATKYCATTCATWTTCCRATTTTTAGYCTTCTTCAATGCATSRCATTYAAMARKTCGCRTTCATGTCTCACAGAGCTGTGATAGAATGTCGRGTCGGCTCCACTTTATTAGTTTGTCTTCTTGAATGCGACTTCAGAGAGGAKCCGTCATCTTGCGATACRGGRGTCTTCCAGAAAAGATTCCTTGCTCCATYACGAAAGGACTGACTAAASATCAAGTAGATAAACGGGTTTGCGCCAGCGTTGAYAATTGTCAGCATAAACGCTGTATCCATRAARATACTTGAGCAAGCCCACGAACGCCATTTCATACTAAGAAAGCAATACATGTTTGCCATCCAAAACGGCAGGACACAAAGAGCAAATATCAAAACGCTGACCAGAAGAAGGACACTTGTTCTGCAGTTCTCCTTACGTCTCTTTTCTTTCCGCTCACTGCTTACATTTTCTCCAACGGTCTTTTGTCCCAGCAGTTTTAGGATAATGGCGGAATATAAACACGAGAGAGTTGCTATCGGCGTTGCGATAAAGATTGAGAAAGCAACCACCATGTACATTGCAACCTCGTCATGAACGAAGAAGTTCATGAAGCAATATAGCTTGCCTCGGATGACGTAAAGATCGGTGTAGTAGAACACGGGGGAGCTGAACCCAAATGCAAAGACCCAGCTAAAAGCAATACTCCCATATGCAACTCTCTTACTCAATATATGCTTAGTTGGAAAGAACACGAGAAGAAACCGGTCCACAGCAATTGCTGACAGRCTTCCACAAGACAGTAACTCGGAGAGAAACCAAATCAACATGCAGAATTTGCAGAGACCTTTTCCAAAAACACCACCGACAAACCACTGGTTTTTGTTCAGGATAGATGACAGAGAGAATGGCACGTTCCATATTACCAGTGATAGGTTAGAGATCGCCATATTTGCAATGAAGAGGTTACTAGTGTTCCGCATTCGTCTGTTTGCGTTYTTGCGTATGACGGCAATTACAGTTGCGTTGCCCGCAAAAGCTACTAATAAAATCAGCACAAAAGTTGTTGTTTTAGCTGCGATTCCAGCTGTATTTTCTTCCTTTAACATTGACTCCACATTTACTGAAGCGTTTGCCATATTGATAAKRAATTTACAACCTTTCTCGCAATTTTGAATTGGARCGCAAGTCAGCAGCACGCTCACTTTAGTGTATTGTACTGATCCACTTGTAAATAAAATGCCTAAAATCTCTTCGAGATTGTATAAAATGGCTCTTATTCAATTCAACTATGATTGAAAATGATG